TACCGCAAGCCCCATATCCCATGTCATCTCCACCCAAAACACGGGACGGTAAAATTGACGTAGACAATGACAACGTGGGGTGGATGGAAACTGATGAATTCTGTCCTGGAAACTTTACCTGACATAGTGTATTTCAAAAAGATTGTCACCCAGAAAGTATTCAAATTTAAATTTAAATGGAAAGCGTTAAAATCTCCACCATCCGACAGAAATCACTTTTCCAGAAGAGTTTATTTATGATTCTGGACAACCGGAGTTTTGGGTTATCCAGAACCGGTCATCCAAAACCAGAGTTTTGGGTTATCCAACCACAACTTTGTTGTTTCGTACAATGAGAAATAATTCTGATAAATTCTAACTGCGATTTTTCTGTATGCCTCAAAATTTGCTTGGCATTCCTCACATTTTTCAAAGTGGATTTAGGTGCCATTCCCCAAAATAGCCTAGAGTCAGCATTTATTGAATGCCTGCTGCATGCCTGGACTGTGCCAAAAACATATGCAAAAACTATCTTAGCCCTTGGAACTACATCATGGTGGGAGGCTGGGGGATTGGTATTGCCCCCGGGCGACTCACGAGGAAACTGGGGTTTGCACAGGTTAATTAAGTGATCCCAAACCAAACAAGGACCACGTCAGGATCCAATGCCATGTCCATCTGGCTCCAGAGCCACGTATTCAACTTCTAGAAGGAGGTGTGGAAGAAGGGAAAGCAAAACACAGGGCTTAGATAACTGATTAAAAAAAAAAAAAAAAAAAATGGCTCTGATGAGAAAGTCAAGTTGGCTCCATTTCTGACTCCAAAGCCATTTTTCCTCAAAAGGTATTTAGACATCCATTTAAGGCCGTGTTAACAGCGGTCATTGCAACCTGGGTCTGATTCTAGCAACAGCTTTGGATCCCTTCGGTGAAGAAAAAAAGCCTTTTGAAGAAGAGGAGACTCCTCTCATTTGGTCCAAAAATCAGAAAATAGCAAGAGGAAGCGAGAAGCACTCATTCTTAGGCCTCATCTGGTTGATTTCACGTCGGGTCTCCTGCTAAGTCGAGAGGAGAGCCCACGAATGCCCTAGAAAACTGGAAGCTTCACCAGGCAGAATCCGGGCCCCGAGTTTCCAATGTGAGGAGACTTTGTGGCGACGCTCCTGGCAGACAGAAGTCACCACATCAGTGAGGAATGCTCGAACTCAGCTTGTAGCCAAGAGACGTCAGGTTCGAAAAGTCTCGGTGTTCAGGCTGAGCGTCTGTCAGAGGCCATGGTGGATTTTTGCGAGCTTGAGCATCAACCACTGCGGGTGAGTGCACAGCCTTTCCCAGGGGTGGTACGTTCCCACGAGGGGAGAAAACACAGAGGTCATGGGTGCTGCCGGGAGCACCAAGCATTTTCATCAAACCTCTGCAAACACCACTCCAAGCTGTCCAGAACTCCCTATGGATGCGCAGCTCTCAGCCGGAGAGGCTGTTCCTGTAGGAATTTAAGTCTGGCTCTCAGCGACTTCTAGTTTTTGTTTGTTTCTGAAAAGGAGGGAGAAAAAGACAGGGAAGGAGTTGAAAGAGAGGCACTGAATGGCCTCTCTTCTATTGTTCCTCATCCTGTGAAACTCATCGTTTCACTGCTAACCTAATGATGGTCCAGCCAGAAAGTCCCTGGGAGGCATCAGAGGGAACCCACAGCACCCTCGGGGGCCCCCAGACCCGGCTCCTCCGTTTGTCTCCAAGGCAGGTGCAGGGACAGCCTCGCCGCCAACATTTTTGAGGCTTACTTGGACAGAGGGGCCTGAGCAACACCACTGGAGTTAAACGGAGGTAAAGGCAGAAGCCAGCTGGATGCACCCTGCAGTCTCAGCACCCTCGAGCTGTGAGGCCAAGGATGTCGGAGCACCGTCCAGGAGATAAAGGCCTTGCCTGGACCTCTGTGCTGCAGCCACTAGTATCGGATTGTTCACAACTAAGCTGACATGACTTTCCATCACCCCCTGGCTTCCGGCAGATGAGATCTAAGTGGACACAAGAGTGCCGGCCTCTCCGACTTCTGGTGCAGGGCTATTCCCGTAGCCGCACACTGTGTTTATCGGGGAAGAGTTTCCTTCTGCAACACATGAGTAGTACTTTGCTGTGTGGGGTTGCCCCAGTGCTTGGACAATACTCAGTCATTCTCCCCTCGTCTGGCATCTTTCTTTTTTTTTAATATTTTAACATTTATTTATTATTTTTGAGAGAGAGAAAGAGAGAGAGAGAGAGAGAGAATGAGTGGGGAGGGGCAGACAGAGAGGGAGACACAGAATCTGAAGCAGGCTCCGGGCTTTGAGCCATCAGCAGAGAGCCCGACGTGGGGCTCGAACTCACGAAGCATGAGACCATGACCTGAGCCCAAGTCGGATGCTTAAACGACTAAGCCACCCAGGCTCCCAGTCTGGTCCCTGTATAATGTTGGGCCACCTACACTGATACACGCTCAGAATCTTCTCCAGCAAAGGGGAGCCAACACCAGAAAGATGTCCATCTTAGAAGAAATGGCTGAGTGTTGTCCTAGGACACAGGATGTCATCCCTTCTCATTATAGATTTATTAATAATTATTCTTATACTCTAATAGTGATCTTTTCCCACTAAAAAAAAAATTCAAACTGACCCAACAGATTTTCAACAACTATATTAGTAAAAGTGAGAAGAAGCTTGCTTTTCACTAGCCCAGAAAGAAAAATATTTGAACATTGAATAGACAGACTAGGATTTTGATTTTTTAAGAAGTTCTAACATTGATCATTTTTTAGCTGTCTGAAAAGAGAAACTGGTGTACTGGTAGAGAAAACACATCTCTTCTCCAGAAATAAGCAACGAAAAGCTGGCTTACTTTGCTATGGAGAAAATCAACCCATTAATTCCATTGGCCTCCCTCACCCTCCGTTTAGAGAAGAGCTTGGGGTCTGTCACAGCCTGCCCAGCATAAGGACCAGATAAACACAGAGAGAGAGTGATGGTTCCAGCCTCGGGGAGCTCAGGCTCGAGGAGGAGCTGGCAGGATAACTCTTAGATTTCCCTCCATTTAAAACTCCACACTTTGGCAGTTAACGATGCTGATGGGAAACATGGCGGGCTCACTATCTGATTTCCCTCCAACAGGAGCATCGAGTTTCTGATGCCAGCTTCCTTCTACCCTTCCGTTAGCCTGAGCGTCTGCGGTGGGTTTTCCAGTAAAAAGTAACTGAGGTGCCCAAGAGAGTATCTAGATGTAAACTAGAGTCACCTGCCCCCCCAAACCTCCATCAGATTGATCGGCATCTAACTCTGTGTTCTGTGCCTGGCTGACGCCTTCCGTAGGATGCTAGGGGACCCCTTTCTGGAGGCCGTTTTCTTCTATTCTCCTGCCCTCTGGCTCCAGTGAGTGTGAATGAGACAGTGACCGCCTTGCTGCGGGGCTCAGTTCTTTTCTTGAATTCGCTCCTGTCAGACGAAAGCCAAAGGTACGTCCGGGTGAGGACGGGAGGAAGTCGTATCTCATGAGGGTCGACGCCGTGACGCTCTGCCTTGGAGGGTCCTGCTGTTGAAGGCCAGGGGCACCGGGCGCACCCTGGCTGTGGCCCCTGTGCCTGCGTCAGCCCCCTGGGGCATCTTGCTCGTGGCCAGGAGCCAAAAGCGGTCTGATGATCTCATGCCCCCTTTGCTCAACAACTACTCCTTCGTCAGATATTTGGGGAGCACTTGTTCCAGGCAGCCCCTGCTCCGCGTTCCGGGGATCCTTCCGGAACCACGCGCTCGCCCCTCAGGGCACTTGTCTTGCCTTCCAGCAGCGGGAGGTGAGCAGCGAGCAAGCCCACAGCGCAGCAGATGGTCGTAAAGGCAGAGCAGGGAAGGAGACAGAGGAGGCCCGGCGGGGCTGCCGTTTTGCCTCCGGTGGTCCCGGAAGGCTGCTCGGCTAAGAGGACGTCTGAGCGGCGACCAGAAAGAGGAGGAAAACCATTGCAGGTGGAAGGAACAGCAGGTGCAAAACACGGGGGCGGGCGCCGCGGCAAGAGGAAAGGACAGTACAGTTGAGCGGAAGGAAGGAGGAAGGCGATGGGAGACGAGGTCGAAGAGGCCGGCTCGAGCCAGTCGCGCAGGTCGGGCGGAGACTCGAACCGGTGCTCGGCGGGGACAGCGCTTTCTTGGTCCGCTTTCTGCCTTAGGAGCCTACTCCGGGTATGTGCGGAGGGTAACGCAAGGGTGGAGGCCAGGCCGCTGACGTCTCGTGGGCCCGGGGAGGGACAAGGCCCGCATCAGGCACCGGTCCCTGGATGGATCTTGAACGTGTTGACCAACTAGGTGTGTGGCGCGAGAGGAACCGATGGCACGAGCGTGGCTTCGGCCCTGGGCGGCCACCGCCTCGCCCTCCTCGCCCCGGGGCGGGGGGGGGGGGGGGGGGGCTCATCAAGGTCCAAACGAGGACGCTCGTGTCCCCCAGAGGACGGGTCTGGGGGAGAGAGGCTCCTGTGAGGAATGTCCCGCCCACCGTACACATATCCACGGGCTCCCTTCTCCCCTCCCCGAGGAGGCGGAGGGGGCTGAGCCGTCCTCTGGCAGGAAGACAGTCCAAGGGAACTTTTCCTAGAATTGTGAGTAACAGAACGCTGCTAAAAATGAGGCTTGACTTTACAGGGCACATACTGGAAACGAAGACTATTAATAGGTTCCTGCGGAGGGCTGCCATGCTGGAAAAGGCCACAGCAAGGCAGCGCTCACAGGAGATGGAAACGTTCCAGGGCCCCTAAGCAGGACAGGGGAAGAAAACCATCTCAGAGAGGTGCCTTAGGAACGCACAAAAGGTCAGCAGTCACTTCCCACCACCCCCGTCAATGGCCAGACAGAGCCGAGAGCCAGCGTGTGGCTATTTGAACCGAAAGCTACAGACGAAGCCAAGAGGACAGACTCCACTGTGGTTTACCAGAGATGGTGAAAAGTCATTAACTCTCGAAGGACCAACAGGACACATGCCCCCAACCTCGAATCTAGTACAGTGGTTCACTTATGTTAGTAACGGGTAAGCAGTCAAGCCCACCCTGATGAGGGTCGTGGCCCAGACTCTCCAGGCTCAAATCCTGGACGAGGAGTAGGGGTGCTGGGTTGGATGCCTTCCGGTCCCGTTCCGTGCTAGCACAAATAAAGACAAATAAAGGGCGCCTCGGTCCCCTTCACCAACGCTCGCCGACACCCAGCTTGTGCAAGACACTGGATGAGCCACGCCCACGCAGGACAGCATCTGTGAACCCAGCGTGCTGTGGGGACAAAGACAAAACCATGCAGCAGGAATGAGAGTGGTTGAAAAACAGCCCATTTCTCTCAAATAGCAAAATGGAAAAAACAAACAAACAAAAAAAAAACCCTGAATTCTCTTCGTGTGCCTTTTTCCGTAACCAGTGCCCTGGAGAACTATAGATCCCCAATGAAACCGTTTCAGCATAGAAAAAAAGAGCACGGCTTTGTGATCGTAGAGATCCTACTTTGAATCCAAATATACCAGCTGCCGGCTGACCTTTGAGAAGCCGACCTAATGTTTTGGAACCTCAGCTTCCCCATCAGTGAAATGGGCATACGCTGCTCATGCCAGGGAATTGTGAGACTCGAACGGGATAACAACGCGAAGGGGACCGGCCCAGTGAGTTGCTGCAAGTGTGAGTTTGCCTTCCCGGTTGCTAATGGAAGACGAAAACAAAGAAGTTAAGCCAAGGGAACTTACACAGCCTGGGAATCCAGAAGGAAACCGTTGCAGTAGGCATATTTTCCAAATTGTGTCACTGGACACTGATCACATACTGAGTATAGTTGCGAGAAATGGCGCCCCTCTTGTCTGTCCCCTACCAGAGTGCCCTCCGTGCCAGTGCAGGATTGCAGTAATTCTCAGAATTTGTCCAATTTGCAAATGAACAGAGATTGCCTTTTGCTTTTTTCCTTAATCTTGTAGATTGGTCACGTTTTCTTCAGAATTTAGAGGACCCCTGGGCTAGCCGGAGGGCATTCTTTGGATGCCAAGACTCAGGAAACCCCATGAGGTGGTTCCTCTCCTTCTTCTGCTTCCCGATTTCACCTGTGTGTCCCACAAAGCCAGAAACCGCTCAACTAGAAACCGTCTGTGACTGAATCAACGTTTTCTTTGTTTTTTAACCTCTTGGAAGAGATTTGGGAGGAATCTAAGTATCATTGTAAAATCCACAGAGTCCCAACCCCACTGAGCAAGCAACAGATGAGGGAAATTGTTCCACATCCTGTCGAGAGGACCCGGAGGAAGAATGTGCCGCGTGGTGCGAAAACTCGGTTTTGATTCCTGATGTTGAACATCTGCCACGCATTTGCAGGCAGCTACCAGCTCAGGCAGACAGCGAGGACCCCAGGTTCAGAAGTCTCTGAGGGCACACTGGAGCCGTCACCCTCGGCAGCTGTGGGAACACGGACAGGAAGCAAGGGACCCTGGAAGAGACAGTGTAGGAGTACATCCTGTGGGGATAGATAAAAAATAATGGCCAGGCTGTGGGAACCTCTTCCGAGCAGACACGTGAGCTCAAGAATTTCCTGAGCCAAAGACCCGACTCCAGCTCTGTGTCGTATCTGTTTATTTGTTTTCCAAGTGATTCTGCCGGATTCTGACAAAGTGAAAGAAGATTTGAATCTCAGACGCGGACGGTCGCGTCTTTTTTAAGCTTTTGCTCACGGAATGCTCGCCTGATACCGGGGCAAGAAGTGCCAGGCTGAGGTCAGGGTTTGCCACCAGGGCCGGTGGAGCGTGGGCGGCGGTGACGGCTGTCCGGCAGGTCCCTCCCGCTGGCAGAGGATGCTGCTCAGCAGGCACCCCCTCGGGTCCGGGATGGCGAGGGGGCCTTTCCCACTGCCTCAGCCTCCTCTGGGCCAGTGAAGACAAGCTGTCTCAGAATCACACAGGCAGGAAGCAGTTTATCACAATCAGGGGCCTTATCAGAGTCTGGCATTCTTCTCAGTTTCCAAGAAAACTGCTCCATAATTTTTACCAAGACTTATAATTCATCCCTCCAGCCTTGCATATTAGCATTCTAAGCAGTAACGTACATGTTGGGCAAAATTACGTTTCCAGGACTTCTTAGAGGCAGAGGCTTACTCTTTAATCCCTTGAAGGTAACACCTGAATGCATCTGTTTGCACACACCTCTTCAGCTGCTGTGACAGATTTGGGGAGGGGGCTTCCGCACCGAGGCACGTGCATCTCACTTACCCCCAGCAGGTGCACGGTCTGGCCCTCACGTGGGCTTGGCCGGCCCGCGGTCCACAGGGCCCGTGCTTGCCCTGAGTGTGTCCTTGCTGCCCCTTGGGAAACTGTCCCCCGCTGTTAGATCTCACTTTCTGATCGCGTTTCCTGTGACCTCGAAGCCTGCTTTACAGGGTACCTGGCTCCGCGTTTGCACACGGTGAATATTCATGAAACGCTCCGCTGAGTTGAGCCCGGTCGAACTGGCCCTGCACGGGGTCGCAGATTCCCTGTTTTCTCCCTCGTCTTTCCCGTCCAGCAGCCCTCCACCCTCACGACTTTCTCCCCGAGGTCTCCTCTACATCCAGCTCCTCGGGAGGCCAAGTGTCCGGGAGCACATCACCCTCCCCGAGTGTGCTCTTCACTGACCTAAGTTTTAGTTCCACGTGATCTGTGTATTTCAGCTAGTTGGGGTTTTTTTTCATTTTCCCTAAAGAAATGCCCCCTTGCTTCCACCTCTTCGTTGCACCCCTCTTTTCAAACCTTCCCCGCCACGCCTCCGTGCCCTGGGAGGACAAGACGGGGCCGGCCGGCCGGGCCGAGGCGCCCATGGGCACTTGGAAGCCAGCCCTGCACCACTGCGCCGGGGCCCCTTGCACTGTGGCCTTTCTCTCCACTCCTTTCCTGCAGACGCGGCCAGGGTGTCTGTCCCGGCTGGCTCTGCCCGCATCCAACTCTCTCCCGCGTGTTTACACACTCGCCTTCCACCGTGGGCCCTCCTAGGCTAAAGCGGTCCACCTGACAGACCGCCTCGCCCTGGGGTTTTACTGGGCGAACGTGGATATCCACCTGCGTGACGCTGAAGGAGAAGGGACAGGGCAGGAGGAGGTCCCCGCCAACGCCAAAGCCTCACGAAGAGGAATTAAACATTCCCCGGGAGTCGGTGCCGACCATCTCTCAAAGCATCTTCTGATTTCCCAAAGCTGATGGAAATGTTCTGAAGGTATTAATAGAATGCAGATGTTGAAGAATGCCACTTAGAAGTCTGCTGAACAAATGACCCTGTTGGGAGGTCGTTTCCAGTCTCCGGGGACATTCCACAGAGGGCCCAGCTGATTGTCTCATATTGAAACAACATGTCCAACACACATTCCAGCTAGTAGAAAGCGGAACAGGGCTACTCTGACCAAATATAAATCATGAGGCGAAAGGGCAACTTCGCTGCCTCAGTTCTCCCTCCCTCCTTCCCCGATTCACCCTCCCGCCCCCTCCCACCCCCCAAGGAAAACAGAGCGTTGAGTAAGAGCCTGCCAAGCCAAGCGGACTCAGGCGCCAGCCGGAGGCCCAGCGCGGCACAGATGGCGGCCGTTTGGGGAGCTCACAGCTTTCGGCGCTGCGGCCCTGATGTTTTTATTTCGCTGCAATTTGTTTCTGATCTTCAGTCAAATCCTTACAACGCCGGGATCCCCTAGAGAGTTTATACTTTGACCTTATGGCAATTAACACCAGAGGCCAAGGAACAAATAGATAAGAGAGAAATTCTACTGGTGAGAGGTGGATGGTCGGAGGACGAGGTGGGGTCCTATTACCCAAGTAAATGTGTTATTTGTGAAATTGTTTCCCATCCAATAAAAAGAACGCAGTGTCTTTAAAGAGACAAGTTGCCAAGATGGAAAGAAAGTCTTCTTTCAAAGACTGCCAGACCTGGCGATCCTCGGTTACTGCGCCTTCAAAAAAGGACACAAATTAGCTGAGGCTGGGGCCGAAGACCTTCCACGCGGGCCAGACGGGGCCTTTTATAGCTCGGTTTGGCTAGGGAGACGTGGGCGAGCCGGGGAGGGTCCCTGCCCAGCCCCTGCCTGCCCCCAGCCCTGAGGGGCAGACCCCGAGCCCGAGGCCAGAAGCCGCGGTCGAACTCCAGGTTCCCCGACCACCAGGGTTGCTGGCGGGTAGCAGGAGGACACCCAGCAGAGCAGGAGCGGCATCCGTTCTCACCTCTCGGATGGGGCACGGGGTCTCGGGGAGGGAGGACGCAGGCATGGGCCGTGGCTTTGTGGCAGGTACCGGGAAGGAGGGTCGGCAGGCCCCACTGAACGAAGGTGCCTGGGTCCTTGGGATTCGCCCAGAGATACGAGCTCAGGAACAAAGGCACCCAGGAAAGCTCGGTCAGCGCCCAGCCCGGGAGCCAGGAGCGTCACAGCGGGGCCGGCAAAAGCAGGAGCCCCTCAGAGCTCGGGGCAGGGCACAGGGCCTCCCGTCCCCAGGCCCCCATTATCCGCCCTCCCTCCCGCCCGCCCCATGCACATGCTACACGGAGCCGGTGACCAGAGACGAGGGCTCCCAGATGGGGCGCTTCTTAGTTCAAGTCCTGGCTTCCTTTTAACTCTCTTTATCTTCCTTCCAAAGACGGTCCCTGTTTGGGGCTCAGTCCAGATCTGAAGTAAGGGGCCAGAGTGAGATCAGCGTGCACTGATGGAGAGCGGCTGATGTTTGGGGCGCACGTGGTGTGCCGGGAGAACTGGCCTGTGTCTCACGGAGACTTCCGTGGAGGAGGGCCCCGGAGGGCTGCGGGCTGTTCACCATAAATCACCCCATCCCGGGGCAAAACAGCACAGGGTATGACAGATACAAAATGCTTCTCACCCACACAGAGGCATGTTAGCAAACACAGGAGCTAGGCCAGCTGAAGAGGCTAGTTTTCAAAAGAAATTCCCAGTTGAAAAGAAACAGCCCAAATTATTTTTTCCCCTGAGAATTTATCAGAAAGCAAGATTATTATTACCCTGCGCAGCTGAATGTTTGGGCTTCCTCCGAAAATAAAACATTCCTTTGATAGAGGACGCCTACTGACTCCCCCCCCCCCCCCCACCGGGAGTCCTGCTTTGAAGCACCAAGGCGTGGGGGGTGGGGGGCTGGGGGGTGGTCCCTGCTTCCCTCCCAGGTGAGTGGAGCGGAGGGGCCGGTCTGCACAGTGCTCAGGGAGGCGAGGGTAGTAAAAGAACTGAGGAGAGGGGCGCCTGGGTGGCGCAGTCGGTTAAGCGTCCGACTTCAGCCAGGTCACGATCTCGCGGCCCGTGAGTTCGAGCCCCGCGTCAGGCTCTGGGCTGATGGCTCAGAGCCTGGAGCCTGTTTCCGATTCTGTGTCTCCCTCTCTCTCTCTGCCCCTCCCCCGTTCATGCTCTGTCTCTCTCTGTCCCAAAAATAAATAAACGTTGAAAAAAAAAAAAATTTAAAAAGAACTGAGGAGAGAAATCTACTCAAGCTTGAGGGTCAAGGCGAGCTGGGCAGTGGAAACACCATCTAGACTGGGATCTGAACGCATTACCCAGGTGACGGGGAACCGGAACTGGTTTAGGCCAAGGGACCCGCCAGTCCTTTGCGGGGGGGGGGGGGGGGTCTCTCCTGGGGGAGTGGGAACTGGAGGGTGCCGTGAAGGGAGGTCTGCAGGAGCAAGCGGCAACCAGACCACAAAGTGTTACCCAGACCGTCAAACCATGTTAAGGCGTAGACGTTTGTTGCAATTTTTTGCAGCGGTAAAATACACATAGAATTTACCGTTTTGACCGTGCTAAGCGTACCATTCATTCGTGTTAAGTACGTTCATATTGTTGCACTTCCAGGAATCTTTTCACCTTGCGAAACTGAAATTCCGTTGCCGTGAAACAGCGTCACCCCGTTCCCTGCTCCCCAAACCCTGGCCACCGCTAGTCTACTTTCCGTCTCTGTGGTTTCGGCTACTCTGAGCACCTCCCGTAAGTGGAGCCATACGGTATTTGACTCTTTGTATCTGCTTGTTTCACTTTGCCAGGGGCTCATCCATGTGGTGGCATATGTCAGAATCTCCTTCCTTTAAAAAAAATTTTTTTTTATCATGTTTATTTATTTTTGAGAGACACAGCACGAGTGGGGAAGAGGCACAGAGAGAGGGAGACACAGAACCCGAAGAAGACTCCAGGCTCCGAGCTGTCAGCACATAGCCCGACGCGGGGCTCGAACTCATGAACTACAAGATCACGACCTGAGCCCAAGTCGGCGCTTAACTGACTGAGCCACCCAGGCGCCCCTCCTTCCTTTTCAAGGCTGAATAATATTCCATTGTACGCATGTGCCACATTTTGTTTCTGTCTGTGGACACTTGAGTTGCTTCAGTGTTTTAGCTGTCATGAATATGCTGCTATGACCATGAATATACAAATATCTCTTCTAGACTCTTCAATTCTCTGGGCTAAATACCCAGAAGTAGAATTGCCAGATCACATGGTAATTCCATTTTTAACTTCTCGAGGAACCTCCATACTTTTTCCACGGCAGCTGCATCATTTTACACTCTCACCAACAGTGCACAAGGGTTCCAATTTCTCCACATCCTCGCCAACACCTGTTATAAGGATTAGACTTCTCAAGAGAAAAGCCTCAAAAGATTTTTTTTTAAGCATCCAATGCAGAGGGTTGAGTTAATCATGTTCCTCAGTTCCTGGCACATTACCATCATTAGCCCATACAAGTCCCCTGTCGCTATAATTATTAAATTTCACCATTTCCCATTCCCCACCCTGTCTCTTTCCCCTTCAAAGGCAATCCCTCTTGCAGTGTGCTTCTTCATATTTGATGTGCTCTTACAAAGTGCATTTTGTATTTTTATGCACAGGTATTCTCTATTTATGTAAATGGATGGTGTGATTTGTCTACTTAAATGTCCTGGGTTTTTTTTTTTTTTTATCCAAGTGCTCTGTTTTTCAGACAGTCCACACCACTGTGCACCCAGGGGCCCATTGCTTCTAAGTGCACACATGTTCTGTGGCCCACGTGCCCTGCTGCAGGTTGCCCCAAACTCCCGCTGCACACGCGACGCTGGAGTGAACATCTGTACACCCGTCACCATGAGTGGATTCCCACAGAGCTATTTCTGGCCACAGAGTAGTCCCTTCCTTGATTTGGTTCAAGGGAGTCAGTTGTGTCCAAAACGACCGTCCCATTTGCACGCCCACCAGCAGGGCATGAGGGGTCCCAAGAGGAGGGAGCTATGGCGGGAAATCATGCTTACAAGCCAGATTAGAATTCAGACTTCAGTGTCTAAAGAGTGGAGCCATGGAGGCATGTTAGCAACCTCCTTAAAGGAAGCAAATAGCCCCAGCTTTTATATTCTAAATACTTCTTAGGCAATGTGTTCCCAGCCACGGCTGATAACTGGGCTTGACCACAGAAGGTCAACTTCAGAGATGAAGTTCTCTGCCCCACGCTCCCTACACCCTTCACTCACACTTGGAAGCTTGTGCAACCTTTTTAAAATGCATGTCAAAAGCAATTCACTAATAAGAAACCATAGACCAGCCAAGGATTGGGGGATTTCGGTCTCGCTCATGTGACATCCTAGTCTGTTACTGTAACCTGCACTCGTGTACACGGGCGCCTGCCTAAAGGTGTAGGATGCGTGGAGAACTGAACAGACGGTGGAAAGTGGAGTCTCTGAAGAGTGGCAGGGAGCTCTGGAAGGGGATAAGTAGGTGCTGCGGTCGAAGCCACTACAAAACAGGAGGTCCGACGGCCATCCTCCTGGGCTCCCCTCCATCTATCTCCAACATCACAAAAAAGGCACCTGTCAGTGCAGAGGACACAGTCATGCAGGGAGATGCCCAAGAGAGCGGACCCTCAGGGGCCATATAGCGTAAGGCTTGAGAATAAATAGATTATATGTAAACTAGAAATGAAAAGTCTGGATCACACACTTGGGTCTCTAGACCTCAGTTTCCTGATCTATAAAATGGTGATAATAAAAAATGCGTCCCTCCTTGTTCTCAGGACTCGCTCATTCTTTGTGCCAGGCACTGTTCTAAGTGAAAGGAGGTACAGCCATGAGCAAGTCAGACAGGATTTCTCTCAGGAGGCTTACGCCTTGGGAAGGAGAGATGGCAATAAATATGTTTTATTCCCCAACCACCACCCCAAATCTCAGCTCTGGTAATCCAGATGTTCACTGGGGACTCCCAGCTCCTCAAGATCCAGATAATATCATATTCTACCTCTACCCTAAACCCTGGAGGGATGGAGGAAAGTGTCATCTCCCAACATTTTCTGCAAACAAGGTTCCATGGAATTTACTTCTCAAAGTCATCTCTGTCTCCTATTTCCTGCCTGCCCTGAATTCTTGTTCTATACATATTACATATTACAACAACCAAATCTTTCCTTGATTTACACACACACACACACACACACACACG